GGAGAAAGTTCCATGTATGCTCAAGAAGAATGAGTATCCTGCTGTTTTAGGATGGAATGTTCTGTATATATCTATGAGGTCCATCTCGTCCAGTGTGTCATTCAAAGCTCTTGTGTCTTTGTTGATTTTCTGCTTAGATGATCTGTCCATTGCTGAGAGTGGAGTATTGAGGTCTCCTACAATTACTGTATTATCAACATGACTCTTTATTTTGGTTAATAGTTGGCTTGTGTAGATGGCTGCTCCCATTTTGGGGGCATAGATATTTACAATTGTTAGATCTTCTTGTTGGATAGACCCTTTAAGAATGATAGAGTGTCCTTCTGTGTCTCTAACTATAGACTTTAGTTTAAAATCTAATTTGTCTGCTATAAGAATTGCTACCCCAGCTTTCTTTTGAGGTCCGCTGGCATGGAAGAAGAATCTCCATCCCTTCACTTTCAGTCTGGATGTATCTTTAGGTTCAAAATGAGTCTCTTGTAGACAGCATATGGATGGGTCCTGTCTTTTTATCCAATCTGCAACCCTGTGCCATTTTATGGGAGCATTTAGGCCATTCACATTGAAAGTGATTATTGAAAGATAGAATTAATTGTCATCATATTGCCTATGAAGACGTTGTTTTTATAGATTGTCCCTGTAAATTTCTGTTGTATATCACTCTTGGTGTCTTTCTCTTTTTATAGAACACCCCTTAATATTTCTTGCAGGGCTGGCTTAGTGGTCACATATTCTTTTAGTTTCTGCTGGTCGTGGAAGCTCTGCATCTCTCCATCCATTCTAAATGACAGCCTTGCAGGATATAGTATTCTTGGCTGCATGTTCTTCTCATTTAGTACACTGAATATGTCTTGCCAGGCCTTTCTGGTTTGCCAGGTCTCTGTGGATAGGTCTGACGTTATTCTGATGTTCCTCCCTCTGTATGTAAGGAATCTCTTCCCCCTAACTGCCCTTAAGATGGTTTCCTTGGTTCTAAGATTTGCAAGTTTTACTATTACATGCCAGGGTGTTGGCCTGTTTTCCTGGATCTTGGGAGGGGTCCTCTCTGCCTCTAGGATGCGAATGTTTGTTTCATTCCCCAGATTAGGGAAGTTCTCAGCTATGATTTGCTGAAATATATCTTCCTGTCCTCTCTCTCTCTCCACTCCCTCCAGGATACCAGTAATTCTGACATTGGAACGCTTCATGGTGTCACTTATTTCTCTGATTCTATTTTCATGGATTCTGAATTGTTTTTTCCTGGCCTTCTCTTTTCCCTTTTTATATATTAAATTGTCTTCCGGGTCACTGATTCGTTCTTCTGCCTCACTTATCCTAGCTGTTAGATTATCTAGTTTAGATTGGATCTCATTGATAGCATTTTTAAGTTCTGCCAATTCAGCTTTCATTTCTGCCCTTAGAGACTCTATGTTGCCATTAATTGATTTCTCCATTCTAGCTATTGTCTTCACAATTGCTGGCCTGAATTCCATCTCCGACATCTTGGTTATATCTGCATCCATTTGTAAATCTGCAGCATAAGTCATAATCTCTGAGTCTTTCCTATTTTGGGGGTTCCTCCTCCTAGTCATTCTGTTGATGTGTGGGTGAGGGAATGTATAGAGTCCAAATTATTGACCAGAACCCAAGCAAGATGCAGCTGTTTTCTAGGGACCTTCGGGTTGCTGGCTTCTTGTTCTCCCAGCTTGTCTTCTGGGGGAGGGGCCTGCCATGCTGTTACTCAGGCAACTCTGTTTGGGCAGAGTTGCCCTGCCCCCCTGTGGCAGGGGATGGGCTCAGTGGGAACCAATTTTGGGGGCTTTTGTTCTCTGGCAGCTTTCCTTAGAGGCTTTCCACATCCCTTCCTAGAGTCAGAGCAGAAGAGACCATTTCCAACCCTCTGCCTCAGAGCAGAGAGATTGCAGTCTGTTCTTCAGTGAGCTCTCCAGGCCATACTATTTCCTTTTCTGTCTGTGCTGCTATAAACTGCAGCGTCCTGGGTTGTGCGTCCCTCCGTAGCGCTCCCAGGCCTGTCTCCAGGTCGGGGCATGTCTCTGCCCTTTGTGCTTCTAAAACCGCCAGCCACTCCCAGTTTGAATGCGCGACCCCGCCGCTCCAGGTTTCCGTCCCGGGGGCTGCCCTAAAGTCCCTTCCCCGCCGCTACCAGTCTGCGAGTCTGTGCCCCATCCCCAGCGCCCGATGCTGTCGTTCACTGGTGGTGTGGGATCCCCACGGCCAGGCACCCTCCCGCTGCCATTTATCCTCTGATATCTGCCCACGGAATCACAGCTCCCCAATTTGTACCTCGAAACCAACCGCCTGCAATATTCTGTTTGTAGAGATCCAGATCTTCTTACATCTCAGGCTGATTTCGTGGGTGCTCAGAGTGGTCTGGCAGATATCCAGCTCAATTCTGGGGGCCAGTTGTAATAGTGTCCCCTACTCCTCTGCCATCTTTTCTCCCTCAAAATTTATTTTTTAATTAAAAATTTTAAGATTTATTTACTTAAATTTAATCAGCTATAAGCTATATTTATATTATTATATTATAAACTGTATTTATATTATTATATTGCTTCGTTTGGCAGATCCTCATTCCCCTGGCTGGGAGCAACTGCAAATGAGGCTATGATCATGAACCTCTATTTAACTCTCAGAAGATATTGCAGACTCTACTGTTAAAGCAAAAACTGCCCAACAAAAATCCCTTAACTCTCTGGTGAAAGTTATTTCTGATACTAGGGTAGTCCTTCATTATCTTTTAGCTGAGCAAGGAGGTGTTTGTGCTGTGGCCAACACCACCTGCTGCACTTGGATGAATGCTTCTAGGGAAAGTTGAGTCTCAGCTACGTGAGACCACTGACCCAGCCAATTGGTTTAAGAAAGTGACTCCTTCGGTGGGGTCTTTCTCTGATTTATTTGACCCTGACTGGTTTGGGTCTTGAGGACCATGACGACTCCAAAGTACGCTCCAGACATTGGGAATCATTCTACCTAGAGTAGTCATAGTAGTCCGCCTGGTGCACTCTGTTCACTCAAAAGCTTTGAATGCATGCTTGCATCCACTAACCACTAAGGGAATAATCTCCCTAATATTATAATGTCGGAAAAGTTACAAAGAATAACCAATTTAAAGAATGTGAACCTGACATCGTGGTCTATGATTACCACACAGAGATTCAGCAAAAGCTTTGAGGATTCTAGAGTAGTAGCTGGGAGTAATGCTAATGCCTTAAATTTTTGTTCACATCTCTCCATTAGGCTGAGAGTCTGATGTAAATGGGATGACTGTTAAAGACAACACAAGAACACCAAAACAGAGTTGCTTATGCTATGCCCCACATCATCAAAATGAGACTTAATTTACTTACAGTTTTGGTGACTTACTTACATTTTGGTCTCTCAGACATAGAATCTGAAACCAGTCTGTTAAAGAACAAAATTCAAGTTTTAAAAGATCCTATTGGTTTTACTCAGTGACATAAATAGGCAGCACGCAGTCTAGCAGATAGAAAGAAGCTTCAGAGAGTTATACAAGGCAATACATTTTTATAGACAGAAGGGAGCAAAAACAAGGGTGTTACATTAACAAAAAGGTGGATTGGTTATTGCAAGGCTACTTTCTTTATAGGGGGTGGCAGGGGTTTTTATCAGGCAGATTATGTAACTAATGCTGATCAGGAAATTCCTGATTGACTGCTTTAAGATTCCATTTCTGGGCTAGCCAAAACTGTAACTAAGTTCCAGTTTGGTGACATGAGGTGGCAGAAGAAAGGGGCCAGGGAAGGGTTGACAACTCTGACTCCATCTTGCAACAGCCACTGTTTTGTGGAGTCCTTAGAAGAGCAGACATTTCTTGGAATCATGATAAGCATCTTGAGGTTTAGATACCTGAAAAGTTCCCCTGTCTCACAATACTGAGCCAAAAATGTCAACCCATCACTGAGCAACCCATACCAACTGATTTTTTTCCTCGAGTGGGGTTTTAAGCTTTAAAAATACCACCTCCCCTCGTCCTCTTCAGACGGGCACACCAACTGAGTTGGGTTGCCCTTCCTGGTTTGCAAACCTAAATAAAGATTCGTCTCCTTTTTCCTTCCTCATAGGCTCCCTCCTGAAGGTTTTTGCGGGTGTTTTTTGTTTTGTTTTGGTTTGGTTTGGTTTGGTTTGGTTTTTTGGTTTTGTTTTTTTCTTAGCCTAAGCAACTCCATTTGGGGCCTGTTGTTTTAACAAGTCAATCAAGATTTTCCTGATTATCGTGAGTTAGGTAATGGGCCTGATAAAACCCTGGCATCCCCTATAAGGAAAGTCACATTGCAAATAACCAATCTACCCTTTTGCCTAATATAATTTTTTTTTCCTGTTCCCTTCTGCCTGTGAAATCTCTAGCCTTGTTTAGTTCTTCCAGCTCTATTCTTTCTATCTGCTAGACTGGATGCTGCCCAATTGGTGAACTGCTGAATAAAAGCCAGTAAGATCTTTAAAATGTACTCAGTTGAATGTTGTTCGGGGAGAAAACAACCGGAAGCCATGGGAAGGTACAGTTTTGTGTGCCTGTGGCTGGAAATCAGCAAGTACCCCTAGACGTGGTGGTGATGAGGGAAGAGGCCCTCCTGGAGTAATGAGTGGCCCCCTTAACAGCTCTCCCTTTGGCCAGAACCAGTTAGCTAGAACTCAGTGCTCCCTATCTTAACCCCTAGTTTTGGATCCTATTTTTCCCTGGGGGCGGGGGGGGGGGGGCAGAAGCCCTGAAGGGGGGCGGGGCACACACGTTGGAAGGGATGTGATGAAATCGGGCAAGGCCCATAGAGCTCTGGAGCCTGACAGGGCATTGGCTAGTGGAGGGCAGGCGCCCAGGGCGTTGCGACGGGGAGCGGGGGGTGGTGGGGACCAGCCAGGCGCTCACAGGCCCGCCAGCAATGCACTGGCGCCAGGGAGAAGCCGAGACGTTGGCCCTCCCAGCTTCCTAGAGAGGCCGCCGAGGCCCGGGGCGGCGGCGCGCGTGCGCGACCCGCGCCGACCGATAGACCCGCGCGGAGCGGGGGGCTCTGGGCAGGTGGTGTGGCCGGAGGACCGACTGTCGGGGGCCTGGGGAGTCGGTGAGCGGCCGGGCGGGGCGCGGGGCCGTCGGGGGCCGCTGGCCCGCGCAGGGTTCGGGAGGGCGGCGGCGGCGTTCGGCCCCTCCCGGGCTGAGAGGAAGGGGGGCGGGGGGCTGGCTGAGGCCCGGCCTGGAGGCTGCGCCCCGGGCGGGTGGTCTAGCCGGGGATCCGGTGCCAGCCTCGGTGAGGCGCGTATCTGGAAGCGCTTTGCCGCCCGGGGCAGAGAGTTGGGAGTAATGGCTTCTGCGCTTTATCCTTTCTCCCAATTATGCAAACAAAGCGTACTCATGGACGATTAGATGACGCGGGTGAGTGCCAGAAAAGTAAGAGTAACCGCAATCCGCAAATAGTTTCGTCTGGATGCTTCCTGACACTTTAAAATTTGTTCATAATTATGCAAACTCGTATACATAAATATATGTATTTATTTATTACGAAATAGGATCATACCATTGCTTTTTAAAAGCTTCTTTTAGTATCATGGTGATACAGAAATACTGTGCTAAGATATACATAGTATTTACCAGAGGATACAATAAAATTTACCATTTTAACCATTTTAAAGGGTGTCATCATTCGGTGGCATTAAGTACATTCCTACTCTTGCTTCTTGAAAGTTATACTTTCAACCGGCAGAATGCATTTGTTCACATGGTGGTCAAAATTGGTGCCAGCATCATGGCATCACTAAGACATATTTCTGAGGGTAAAATGAAAAGAAAACATTTTGTTTTCAGTTTATTTTCCAGAGTACACATTACGTAAAGCTGTAAATGCTCAACAAATGACGTTTGTGCAGAAAAATAGCAAAGTCTTGTTTATTAGAGTGATCGTGTCTTTTCAAAATGAAAGCGAAGTATATAAAAAGGGAGTTTTTATTTTTGTAATATATTTTTTTACAGATTTTGTTTTAATAAAGGGGAGTTTTTAAACAGAAGGTACAGCTCTAACTTAAACCCACTGTGCTGTCTCAGACTTGCATAGGCCTCGGAAATCAGAGAATGGTCTCCTTCTAGGTTAAAAGTGATGGCCAGGAAAGAACACCATCAGTTTCAAACTGTTTGTAGTTCAAGAGGGAAAACTCATTAGTATTAGGTACATGATTTGCAGGGAAATGTCAGTGAGTGGTTTTAGTTTTAATTTGATGAAGGAATTTCAGAGAACTTGCATCTGTGTGGACGTGTGTGCATCTGTGTGTGTATTGAGAGTCTGATGAATGAGGGTGCTCTTACATGTCACGTTAATGCTGGAGAAAGGCAGACAAATTTTGGTTAAAAGCCGTAATCCTTCCTGTAGGTCGAAATGATGGGAATGTTTTGAAGATAAACCTCAATATAGACTTATAAAGGAAACTGAGAACAGCATCAAAAATATTAACTATGCCACTTTAAGTTTTCTGTGGCTCCTGGTGTCCAGGAAGTCTTAGTGCATAAGCATTCTGTGATATTGGAGAGTTGCTCCAGAGTAAATATACATAGCCTATGGTAACTGTAACTTATCTTATTTGGCAGTCTTCAGTATTTTTGTATCAGAAACGCTCTGAACGAGCTCCCTCAGGTGAATCATGTGCTGTACAAGATTGAATTTTTGAGCTTAAACTTTGCCTTCCCTGATCTTAAAGCTTTTAGCCTTCTTCCTTGTTTTATTATACTGCATCGCTCTGGACACTGTCTAACATACCTGTGTTTTCTTTACTTCGTTGTCTGTCTTCCTATGAGCTCTGCAAGGCAGTATTTCTATTTATTTATTTATTTATTTAGTCAGTCTCATTCACTACAGAGACCTTAGTGCCTGGGGCACAGTAGGTGCTCAATAGATACTGTTAAGTTAATAAAAGAATGACTCTAAATTGGAGATAAGAATGACGGTATATGGTATCTTTGATTGCCAAGTTAATTTTTAAGCTAAAAAAATAAATCAGAAAAAAACGATAACACGCTTTCTCAATTCAAAAAACCTTTTTTTGGGGGGGAATTGTAGACATACAAGGGGTTGCAGAAATTGTACAGAGTTCCCTTATAGTCTGCTCAGTTTACCTAAAGTTAACATCTTGCATAACCACAGTACAGTCATCAAACTTAAGAAATTTACAGTGGCACAGTACTAGTAATTAAACTGACTTTAATTAGAGTCCATCAGTTTCTCACTAGTGACCTTTTTCTGTTCCAGGATCCAGTCTAGAATCCCTCATTCCATTTAGTTGTCACGTCTCCTTGTTTTCCTTTTAGTATGGGACAGTCTCTACATCTTTCCTTGTTTTTCGTGACCTTGACGCTTTTGAAGTATGTTGTGCTGGTATTTTTAATGCCTCTCACTTTGGTTTTGTCGGATGTTTTCTCCTGCTTCGATTGAGGATGGTGTTGATACGTCTTATTACTGTTGATACTAATTTTGATCTAGTGGTATCTGCCACGTGTCACCACTGTAAAGATACTATCTGTCTGTTTGTAACTAGTGATTATTTGGGGGAAGATACTTTGAGACCTTGCATAACAATATCCTGTTTCTCCTTAACTTTCACCCACTAATTAACCTTCCTGGTGGATCTTTTTATTATAATTATTATTATCATTATGTTATGTTAATCACCATACATTATGACTCATTATTTGCATATAACACCCAGTGCTCCATGTAGAACGTGCCCTCTTTAATACTTCCTGGTGGATCTTATAGTGTAATGGTCTAATGGTGACTTTCATTTCTGTTATTCCCTCTGCAGTTATTAATTGGAATACTTTCTGAGGAAGAGTTGTGTCTTGTTTCCCTTTGTTTTATTTCTTCAGTTAGTTATATCAGTGTGTGATGTTGGGTATGTATTTGAGCTATGATGCAGTGCTGATATTACTTATTTTGTTGCTTAAATTATTCTAGCCTTGGCCGTTGGGAGCTCTTTGTAGTTGACTCCTGTTGCCCCTTGAAGTGCCCACATCCTTTTTGTTGTCTTTCCCTGACTTTCTGGCACCACAGAATACTCATGTTGTATCTTCCCTTCCCCAGCCCTGGAGACCACCACTTCTCCAAAGAGCCCTAGTTCTGTTTATTGGAGAATGGTATGGAGAAACCAAGTTTGGGGTGCTAGGTTTGAGCTCATTTCTTAATTGGTACATTTAAGTATAACGTAACATTCCAATTACGTACTGGAAGCAGTCTTTCTTGTTTCCTTACCAGCGTATGAAATAAAACATATGTGCCCTTCCAGTGGTAGGAAAAACACAAGAGTAAGAGACTGCTTAATGAGGATTTTAAAAGAAAATAAAATCACATTGTGTATGAGTTGAAGAAGCAAAATGACAAAAGAAAAATAAAGAAAGAGAGGGAGGGGGGAGGGAAGGATGGAAGGGAAGGAAGGAAGGAAGGAAGGAAAGAAAGAAAGATGGGAATGTCCCTGAGAAATGGCCAGATAATTGCTTGGGATTTTCCCTGTTCTTTACAAAGCCATTTTCATTGTGGGATTGAGACTGGGGCTAAGGTATGAAGCTCTGGGACAAGAGGCCTGATCAGCTCAGGTTTCCTCCTAGGCCTGGGATGAGTGAAGTTTTTCTTCTGTTCTCAAAAGCTAGTTGGGACATGGAGAAGCCCTGAGGCATTAGGATACCTGAATTTAACTGTGCAGGTTCAGCTCACTGGCCCCCATGTCCTTACTGTGCTCTGGATCTTTCATCCAGAATCCAATAGGCCCTGGGGGTCTTCTCTGGGTTCATGGTTGCAGAAGCTGGACTAACCCCTTCTTTGGTTGAAGGCCTGGAATCCTTTGCCAGATTCCTGGCTTTCGCCCTCAGTTTCCTGTCAGTTTTCTCATCACCTCTGTCCAGACACTTCACTGATCTCTTCAGACATTTCTGTAACAGCTGCTTCAGAACACGTCTGCTTGGAGGCTTATTTTTGGTGCTAATTGCCCTGTGGGTCTCCATTTCCTGAGATAGGTCTTGCCACTTACATTTCCTGGTGGATGCATTTCTTCAAAATATTTGTCTCTGGCCTCAAGTTCATTCTCTTTAGCCCCACTGCCAGGTTTCTGGTCACCTGAGCAGCTTTCCCGTTCTTTCATACTTCAGTTTCTTTCTCTTCTCCAGTCTGTCCTACAAGTTTGTCGGGGAAAGGCTCTGTCCCTCTTTCTCTTGACTTTCAGCTTCCTTCTGAGCAGTTGTTTCTGCTACCTGTTTGTGCTGCTGGGGCTCAGCAAGGCTGGAGCCTGCCCCTCTTGCTCCTGAAGCACCGTTTCCTCTCAGCCTTCTTTTGTTGTTGCTGGTCTTCAAGTCTGTCTGTGGGCCTTCAGCCACTTACTTTATCACTTCCCTCCTTTTCCTTTGCTTTTGTTTTCTCAAATACTTACTCTTCTTTTTCTCCCCTAGTTTTCACAGCAAGGCTTCATTTCTCTGCCAGAACTTTAGCAGACTCCTCAGCGTGCATGATCCTTAATGTAGTCCTTTATCAGACTTTTCATGCCCTGAGAGCAAGAGTGTAGTTTCTTTCTGTTAGTGGTATGGCAGCGTGCTTTCTGGTGTGAGCCTCTTTCCGTCTGTGTTTAGTCATTATTTTTTGTCTGTCCTGATAGCTTTGGCTGAGACTGGAAGATGTTGAATAGGTACTGGTTTATAACGAAGAAGGGAAGGCTTCTGGGTGAAGGTAGTGATTTCTTTAAATGTACTTAGTGATGGTGGCAGATGGAGGGTGGTTTCAGGGGCAGGTGAGCATCATTTGTGAGCATTGTTAGAGGCTGAAAATAAAAATGGCGGTACTCTGGGGCGCCTGGGTGGCTCAGTTGGTTACGCGACTGCCTTCGGCTCAGGTCATGATCCTGGACTCCCTGGATCGAGTCCCGCATCCGGCTCCCTGCTCGGCGGGGAGTCTGCTTCTCCCTCTGACCCTCTTCCCTCTGATGCTCTCTATCTCTCATTCTCTCCCTCTCAAATAAATAAATAAAATCTAAAAAAAAAAAAAATGGCGGTACTCTGATCTCCAGCTGGAGAGCTGAAAGATAAGGACCCCCACATTCA